GTCTCCGACTACCAGATTCCCCGAAGGCGCGAAAGGTCCTCACTCATCTCTCATCCCCGGCACTTGACGAAGAGAAGGCTTAAAGAGAAGCCGTTCTTTACGTGAGTGTCCCACGTCTTGCTCTAAAATGGCTACTTTCAATTTTGTGAGAGATCCGCGCTGGTTCCAGGTCTCGAGTTCGTGGACGCCCCCGGCGCTGAAGTAACCCTGGCCGGGCCGGCCCAACCCCGCTCCCACCTGAGCCCCCGCGTCCCGCCCCGCCATGGCCTCCGTGCCGCGGGAGGCAGCTCCGGGGAGACGCGCCGCCCGCTGCCGCAGCCCCGCCACCATCGCCGCCAGCCCCGCCACCGCAGCGGCCCGCAGCGGCCCCGAAGCCCGGCCCGCCGCCGCCTCCGCCTCGACTTAGCCACCCCAACCCGCCTCTCACCCGCAGTCCCTCAGCAGCTCCCGCCTGGCCCGAGCCCTCAGCGGATCGGAAGTGGGCCACGGATGCTGTCAGACAGGTGCGTGAGGAAAGAGCCCCTTCCGCTTCCTCTCTAGGACTCCCGGAGGTCGGTGTGTCTCTATGGTCGCTGGTCCCCTGGGCCTCTCCCCGGAGACCGAGTGCCTCTTCCCGGGCTAACTCGTCCCTTAGAGGCTCGCGGTCCTCGCGATCGTCAGGCCCTTTGGCGCCTCTGTGGCTTTGCATCTGCTTTCCCTCCGTGAGAAGGTCCCTCCAGACATACTACCCGACGCGAAGCCTGTGTCAATGGGCTTTAGAGTCCAGTCGGTCAACACGTGCTTATTCCGCGCTTCTTGTACTTTGTGCAAGGCGCAGGGGCCGAGGGTGACAGAGGGAAGCACCGAATGCTATAGGTTCGCATAAGAGGGGCCTCCACCCGAGTAGTTGGGAGGAGGGAGTCAGGGAAGGCTTCCTGGAGGAGCCGGCACCTCAGCTCAGATTTGAAGAGTGGACCTTTTAAAAAGTGAGGTGAGTGTCCCTAGTGAGTGTGGAGGGACTGACCTTATTCCCACACCACCCAGGCCACTCGAGCAGACGGTTAAACTAAGTATTTCGGTTGATAAGCTAAAGGCAATGGGAAGCCATGGAAAGGTTTAAAGGTGGGAAGGGACACATTTTGGAAAGATGTTGCTGAGAACCCTTCGAGAAAGACAGAGCAAGAAGGGAGGGAGGTGGAGAAATGAGACGGCTGATTGTGGCATAAAAAGAGGCTTAAAGAGGCAGTCCAAGAGAGAGAGGGTCAGACAGACCTGGGGCATTCGGTGAGAACAGAGATTGCAAGGAGTGATTCAATAGGAAACTTACTGAGGAAGTAAAATTGCCCAGGTTTGAGGACTGATTGGGTCTGGAGGATGAGAGAGAAGGTGGAATAATTTAGTAAATGACCAAGGCCACATTTATCCATAAGGATGAACATTTAAAAAGCAGACAGCTGATTGGTCGTCTGGAAAGAGATAATGTTGGCCTTATACTGCATCCAGGACCAAGTCCAGCTGGGCTCACGGGATCTCAGATTCTTTTATATTACAAATTACATGATCAATCCACCTTGGGAATAGTGTCGGATAGCCACCAACCACTAACATGCACTCACATCTGAGAGGTATGAGACAACCTTGTCATCTGGGGCCAAATGAAACTGCCCAATTGGCTCAATCTGTCTGGGAAAACTGAACTATTCCTAGTGATATCAAAAACCTTCCTTCAGTTTGTCATGGAGAAGACACAGGGAAGAGAGCATTCTGGCAAAGGCAGGAGGAGATTGGATCAGATCACAGGTTTCCAGGGCAGCTTTGGAGAGGAAAGGGGACTCCTCTGAATTGGAAAGAAAAGATTCAAAGATGAGTGATGGTCTAGGTCGGGGCTCAGCAAACTTTTTCTATGAAAGGCCAGAAAGTAACTATCCTAGGTTTTGCTGGACACATTTTCACATACTCATTTTTGCAATCCTGTAAAAATGTCAAAGCCATGTTTAGCTCACAGCTAGCACTAGATTTGACACAAGGGCTGTAGTTGCCTGACCTCTGAAGTAGATGGTTTTAAAATCGTACTACGGAGGTGTTTGAGGAGTTCTTTCTTTCTTGGCCTCTTGCCCCAGTGATATTACCTGCTGAGAATGCATGGGACAGTGATAGGCTTAAATAATGGAGTAAAAACTGAAATATCTATTGTGAGGAATGATGTAAGAAAAAATTATATGGGCGCCTAGGTGGCTCAGGCGTTAAGCATCTGCCTTCCACTCAGGTCATGATCTCAGGGTCCTGGGATCGAGCCCCAAGTTGGGTTCCCTGCTCAGCAGAGAGCCTGCTTGTCCCTCTCCCTCTGCCTTCCCACCCCCCACTCGTGCTCTCTCCCTCTCTCTCTCAAATAAAATTTTTTACTTTTTTTTAAAGATTTTATTTATTTATTTGACAGAGCGAGAGACAGCGAGAGAGGGAACACAAGCAGGGGGAGTGGGAGAGACTCCCACTGAGCACAGAGCCCAACTCGAGACTCAATCCCAGGACCCTGAGATCATGACCTGAGCTGAAACCAAGAGCCAGACGCCTAACCAACTGTGCTACCCAGGCGCCCCCCTATTTGTCTTTCTTAAGGAACTTCATGCACGGCAAAAGATTGTATGTTTTACGTATTCAAATTCATTCATCCTTTTTTATTTTTTTTAAGATTTTATTTATTTATTTGAGAGAGAGCATACACATGCACGCGCGCGCACACACACACACACACACACACACACAAAAGCCCAGAGTAGGGGGGTTGGGGAGGAAGGGGCAGAGGGAGAGGGAGAAGCAGACTCCCCGCTGAGCAGGGAGCTCAATGCAGGGCTCAATCCCAGGACCCTGAGATCATGACCTGAGCAGAAGGCAGATGCTTAAGGGACTGAACCACCCAGGCGCCCTTCATTCACTCTTTTTTAAAAATCTCTGTGCCTTCCAGGGGCTCCTGAGTGGCTCAGTCCGTTAAGAGTCTGCCTTCGGCTCAGGTTATGATCTCAGGGTCCTGGGATCGAGCCCCACATCAGGCTCCCTGCTCAGTGGGGAACCTGTTTCTCCCACTCCCTCTGCTCCTCCCCCTGCTCATGCTCTCTCTCTCAAATAAATAAATAAAATCTTTATAAAAAAATATCTGTGCCTTCCATAGTCCCAATGGCTAGCAAGTTTTCCTCAACACCATTTGTTGAAGGTTCTATTTTTCCTTGTATAAAGTTGCCTCTATATTTGGACTCCAATTCTGTAATCTACCTGGATCCTATGTCAAGACCTGCCAAATTGTTTAATAACCACAGTTTTATACTTATCTTTTATATTTGGAAGAGCTTTTCTACATCACTGGCCCTTCTTTCCCATGATATAAAGAGAAGATTTTTGAAGAAAAATTAAGAACAGTAGTCTAAAAACTGCAAAGGAAACCAGACAAATTCCAACCTCATGCTCCTGGCCCTGAGAGATCAGAATATAACCAAAGGAATGCTAGGGAAATGGCAATGTCAAAAAGAAGACAGATTTTCAGGGATGCTGAGCAAATGAAGGCACTCTTTCCTAGCAAGGAACATGGTACTAAATGAGTCGAGAGCATCGTGAGATCCTGAGAGAAAAGAAGGGGAAAAGGGAGGAAGGAAAGAGGGAAAGAGACAGAGGGGCAGAAGGAGAGAGAAAGAAAATTATCTGATAGAAGACATCACCTCTCTGGTTCTTTAATAAGAAAAATGGGTAGAATTATACCTGGCCTATCTTTAGCAGGATAAAGTAAAATGGCAGATATAAGAGTTGCTTTGGCATTAACTATAGAAATGAAGGTTATAGGGGGCACCTAGTGGCTCAGTCAGTTGAGCAACTGACTCTTGATTTCAGCTCAGGACCTGAGATCGGGCTCCCCATACCTGTTTCTGAAGTTGTACTCCTCAAGTTATGATAGCTTTCCCCCCGCTTTGTGTTCCTTACAGAGCAAAGTGGGGAAGCATTGCTGGTGGGTATTGTTCAGATGAAGGGTGGATATGAAGTCTGCAGAGCGCTTGGATCACTGTTCTAGCTGCACCACCCCCCCCCCAAGCATTCCTACTTCCCAGCCACACCCATCCTAGCTGTGGGGCTGAGAGCTCCCCAGTCTGTAAGCACCATCAGGACACGTTAGACATGCCTCTGGCTTTAGTGAGAGGATGGAACACCCATATGTTAGTTGGCTAACTTGCCTCTGCTTGCCCCCAGGGGGTTACAGACCCATTAGGCTCAGACTTCCAGACCTGGGGGCTTCATCCTGAGAAGCATTCACCTTTAACCACTCCCAACCCTTCCCTCCAACACATACTTAAGTTTCCTGTACTGAGTCACACCTTTGTCTGGGGACATCACTTTCTTTTTTTTTTTTTTAAGATTTTATTTATTTGAGAGAGAGAGAGAGATACAGCAAGAGAGGGAACACAAACAAGGGGAGTAGGAGAGGGAGAAGCAGGCTTCCCAAGGAGCAGGGAGCCCGATGCAGGGCTCAATCCCAGGACCCTGGGACCACGACCTGAGCTGAAGGCGGACGCTCAAGTGGCTGAGCCACCCAGGTGCCCCCATCACTTTTTCTTTTTAATGTCACTAACTCAAACACCCTCTGTTGGGGTTATATTCTGTTCGGTTTTTGTTTTACAAAAGCTCACTTCACTTGATCTTTTTGTCATATTCCTTCCTCCCCTCCTGTCCTCCAGGCTGGTTTTCTTGAGGTTTGGATTAACATTCAGTAGTCCTTTTATTGAAAACACCTGCAAAACAAAACAAAACACACACACACATTGGGGCGCCTGGGTGGCTCAGTCGGTTAAGCGTCTGCCTTCGGCTCGGGTTGTGATCCCAGGGTCCTTGGATCGAGCCCCGCATCGGGCTCCCTGCTCAGCGGGAAGCCTGCTTCTCCCTCTCCCACTCCCCCTGCTTGTGTTCCCTCTCTCGCTGTCTCTCTGTTAAATAAATAGATAAAATCTTTAAACACACACACACAAACCACTCAGGAAACAGAATAATTCAAAAAACTTTTAATAAATTGCAAAGACAAGCAAGACAGAATCACTGTGAGTAAGGGGAAGGGGAGCACTGATCTGACTCAGGAAGCTTATCAGAAGCCGCAGAGACTGGCTGCCCCTAAGGCCCCCACGCAGGCACTCACAGAGCTGAGGCTGGGTGGAGGACACTCTCCCGGACTAGGTAATTGTTTCTTCCTTCAGCAGTGTCTCCTTTTGTATTGAGCTCAGGTCTCCTCCCAAACTCTCCAGATTCTCCAGGTGGGGGACCCCTTGGGTTTCCTCGATACTCCGGGAATTGGGCAACCGATGGCAGCTAAGGCAGGCTGTTTCTTGAAAGAGGCAGATGGCACCTGGGTAACAGCGAAAGTTTGGGTCAGGCTGGAGAGTGAGGTCAGGAACTCCCTCCTCGAATGTGACCCCCTTGTCTGCACCCGCCCTCCCTAGTTCTCCCCTGCAATATAGAGTATTACAGAGACAAACAGAAAACATAATGCATCACAAGACAAGGCATACAAAAAGATGGATAAAACTCACAGAACCATAGCCAGTGCTGGAAGGCATCTTAGCAACCAGCTAACTATTAATAGGTAAGAAAACAAGGTTTAAGAGGAAGGTCAAACACAAAACCCAGGCCTCTTGATGCCCAACTCAAGACCCCCAGTAAAGTAAAAGAACGGAAAAAGAGAATTAATGTCATAAAACAAATGTAGACTTCTTGAGTGAATAATAAATGCTGTATTAAGGTTAAGGCTAAGAGAAAGAACAACTTCTATGTTCAGCATGATAGCAGACTACATACTCTCCCAATAAAAACAACTAAAATTCTATATAAGATATTTCTTCAGGGGGGAAATCAGAGGGGGAGACGAACCATGAGAGACGATGGACTCTGAGAAACAAACTGAGGGATCTAGACGGGAGGCAGGTGGGAAGATGGGTTAGCCTGGTGATGGGTATTAAGGAGGGCACGTTCTGCGTGGAGCACTGGGTGTTATACGCAAACAATGAATCATGGAACACTACCTCAAAAACTAATGATGTACTGTATGGCGACTAACATAACATAATAAAAAAAAGATATTTCTTCAAACACCTATTTGTAAATACATCATCAAACTGGCATCAGGGTAAGGCATTTTTAGGAACAAAACCCTAGTGAAAACAGAAACCTAGAGAGTTTAAGCAAGCACACAATTAGCCTTCATGTGGGAGACATACACTCAACCCAGGTAACCCTGAGTTTCCATTCTGTTGGCCATTTGGGACACAAAATGAGAGGAAAAGCTCGGGGCCTGCTCAAGATGAGCAATCTAAGAAGGGTCTGCCATATGAAGCTAGAACTTTCAAGTTACCTGTATTGACTGAGAATTCATAAACAGAGGCTAGCTGTTCTGTGGGTCTGCAACTAAAATTCACAATACCTGTTGTGATTCTTGGCTAGCTGTGCACCCAAGCACCAAGCAGAAGCAAATGCAAATCCCTTTCTGAAAAAACACTTTAAATACAGGCCTCAAAGAATTTCTACCCCCCCAAAAAAAAAGAATCCAAGGAAAATGAATTCACAAACATACCAAGAAACAAGACACCAGAAGCAAAAGCCTGAAAAACAGCAGCCGATGGACTCAGACCAGCATATCATATCATTCAGTTGTTAAACTTATAGGACACAGAATGCAAGGTATGCTTAACATGTATAATAAAAATATGTTTAGAGAACAGATTAAAAATATAAGTGAGGGGGCGCCTGGGTGGCTCAGTCATTAAGCATCTGCCCTCGGCTCAGGTCATGATTCCAGGGTCCTGGGATCAAGCCCCACATCGGGCTCCCTGCTCGGCGGGAAGCCTCCTTCTCCCTCTCCCACTCCCCCTGCTTGTGTTCCCTCTCTCGCTGTGTCTCTCTCCGTCAAATAAATGAAATCTTTTTTAAAAAAAATCAGAATAAGAAAGTAAGAGGATAAATTAAATAGCAAATTAGATACAGCAAGAGATAAAATTACTGGATAAGCCTAAGACGGATCCAGAGATATGATTAGAATGCAGCATGGAAACACAGAGGTGAAAAATATGAAGGAAAAAAAATCAAACATAAAAGACAGAAGGGTGGATGCGTCTAATAACATGAACTTCAGAAAGAAAGACTGAAAAAATGGGGAAGAAGCAGTATTTGAAGAGACAATAGTTAAGAATTTTCCAGTACGGGGGCGCCTGGGTGGCTCAGTCAGTAAGCGTCTGCCTTCGGCTCAAGTCATGATCCCAGGGTCCTGGGATCGAGCCCCGCATCGGGCTCCCTGCTCGGCGGGAGCCTGCTTCTCCCTCTCCCACTCCCCTGCTTGTGTTCCCTCTCTTGCTGTGTCTCTCTCTGTCAAATAAATAAATAAAATCTTTAAAAACTATATATGTGAGGGAAAAGAGTATAAAAATAACATGAATTAAGGGAAAATATAATTTCCAGTTATAAAAACAGATTGAAATAAAAATTTAATAGGTGAAGCAGCCAACCAGACACAGCTGAAAAGTGAATGGATGAAACTGAAGATACATCTATATGAGTTATTCAGAATGCAGCCCAGAAAGACAAAGAGATGGAAAGCATGAAAAGAGAGAGAGAGACATAGGATAGAGTGACAAAGTCTAACAGATGTCTTCCTGGAGTTCACAAAGGAAAGAAAAGAGAAGGAAAGAACATAGAGATATAAAAGATTAAAATGATCGAGAAATTTTGAAAGACATCATTCCTCAGACAGTTCATACCACAAGTCATGATACAAATATCCACACCCAGTACCTAAAGTACCAAAGGAAGTCTAAGAAAAAACAAAGATTGCTTCAAAAAGAATGATATTTTTAGAGTCAACAACAATGGGAGTGGTAAAATAATAATAATAAATAATAATAATAGAATAATATCTTGAATGCTTGGGGATACTGACAACTTAAAAATGTAAGTTCAGCAAAACTAATTTTCATAAACAAAAATGAAAGGAAGATAATTTCATACAAACAAAATATGAGAGAGTGTATCTCTAACTGACCCTAACTAAAACCCATTATAAAGGATGTATTTCAGGGGGCACCTGGGTGGCTCAGCCGTTAAGTGTTTGCCTTCGGCTCAGGTCATGATCCCAGGGTCCCGGAATCGAGTCCCACATCGGGCTCCCTGCTCAGCGGGAAGCCTGCTTCTCCTCTCCCACGCCCCCTGCTTGTATCCCTCTCTCGCTGTGTCTCTCTCTGTCAAATAAATAAAATCTTTAAAAATAAATAAATAATAAAGGATGTATTTCAGGCAGAAGGACAGAAGGTTTGATAAGCAACTAAATTGGTAAATATGTGGGTAAATTTAAATAACCAACAAATATCAAATGCATAAAATAACAATACAATCAAATATATAGAATTAAAAAAGAAAAGAGAAGAAACTAAAATGTGCAAAATAGCATATAAATTGGGAAGGCTTTACCTTGTATTATTTATAAAGAAAATAAATATGTTGATGAACTTTCAACTTTGTTTAGTAAGCATGTTAAAATATCAAGAGTAGCTACTACAAGAATACAAATAGACTACATAACTTCCAAACTAAAGAGGGGGAAAATATAATGAGAACTGTATTGATAAAAGTCAATCAATTCAAAGCAATGCAAGAGAGGTTGGGGGGGGTGGGGAGCAGAAAAAACTGAAAACAAAAAGTAAGGTGGTAGGAAAAAATAGAAATATATCAGTAGTCACAATAAATGTAAATCAATAATAAATGCTCCAGTTAAAAGACAACAATTATAAAACTAGATGAAAAAAATATAATCATCAGCTATATGATTACATATAAGTAAAAGATTAGAAAGATATATAACAGGCAAATACTAACCTAAAGAATGTAGAAGTAGCTAGAGTAATATCAGATAAAACAGACTTTAGCAAAAGGGATTACTAGAAATAAAAAGGATCACAGCATGCATAATGATTAAAAGTTCAATTCACCAGTAAAACAGAACAATTCTTTTTTTTGCCTTTAAAATCATTTTATACACAATTTTCCCAACTTGTTCCCCCCCCCCAAGTTAATAGAGCATGAATGGCCCTCCACATCAATACATAAAGACTTACTATACTTTTTAACAGCTACATAGTACTTCATTACATGAATGTAACATAATTTTATATATTTCCCTTCCTTAGATAATGCTGCTGAGAACATTCTTGTATTTTCCCATACTTGTGCTAGTATTTCCATTTCATTGGGTTTTGAAAGGCTTGTTCTATAGCTATAACTGGTAGACTATCCTTCTTCATGTTGAACTGAAAATCTGTCAACCTGTGAATTTCTCTGCGGCTGCCACTCCTTTGATGTGGTTTTCTACTTCGCTGTGAGCACGAGTCCAGGCTTATAAAAAATTGTGAATACAATTTCATTATACATATATTTGTCTCTTTTACTGGTAAACTTGAACACATGTGTTTTCTTGCTTTATCCTTGAAGCAAGTATGATGCAATTAAAACATGAGTTAACTTTGTTAATAACTGAATTTCTGGACAGGTATGCTTTTACAGGAGACTGTGATTTTGTGGATCTTTCCACGTTGCTTCAACTCTGTTTCTTGGCCTGAGTGATGCCAACCACATTTGTGCATTCTGTGGTAGAGCAAGGTCAATTGTTAGGCTGTCATTAAGCTGCTTATGAAGACAGTTTAGAAGAGTTTTGCAGGCAAAAATCAAGAGGAAAGTTTCCATATATGTGTAAGCTCTGCCCCTCTGAAACTGGCATCTGAATTGCCAGGAATAGTTCCTATCCTGTTAAGTTGGAAGTAATGAGAAAGGAAAACAGGGCATATAAGTGAATGAGATTGAGAACTGCCTATAGGAAGTAGGCCCTATGGTACTTTTATTTTTTTTCAGCTTTTTAAAATTAATGTAATTTTCTTTATTAGAAAAATATACTTGGATATCTTTACCATTTCCATTTTTTGAAAAACAAATTCATTATTTTCAGCTATTGTTTTAATTTTTTTTAATTGTGGTAAGAATGCTTAACATGAGATCTACCTACCTAACAAATTTGCGAGTGTACAGTAGTATTGTTAACTATAGGCATTATGTTGCGTAGCACATCTTTAGAACTTACTTATCTTGAATAACTAAGACATTATATCCATCGAACAACATTTCATCTCACCCTCCTAGGCCCTGGCAACTACCATTCTACTCTGCTTCTACAACTTCAACTATTTTGGTCATCTCATATTGTGCAGTCATGCGGTATTTGTCCTTCTGTGACTAGCTTAAAATAGGACAATCCTAAATCAAGATTAGAACAATATAATGAATAAGCTTGATCTAATGTTTATAAAAGTTGCACTCAACATAAAACATGAAAATGGACCTCAAACTAGGCTATAAAACAAGTCTCAATAAATCTGAACACATTAGGATTATATAGACCATGATCTCTCATCACATTGAAATCAAGTCAAAATCATTTAACACAAAGATACAATAAAAAATTATATGCTTGGAAATGTAAAAGTATAGTTTAAAATAATTCATGGATCAAAAAAATCATAAGGGGAACTAGAAAATATTTGAAATAGAACAGTAACATAAAATACTGCATATGAAAATGGGAGCTACAAATGAAGCAATTCCTACAGGGAAATTGAAGCTTTAATTGCCTACTTAGAAAAGAAGAAGTAGGGGCGCCTGGGTGGCTCAGTCAGTTAAGCGTCTACCTTTGGCTCGGGTCATGATCCTGGAGTCCCAGAATAGAGCCCTGCATTGGGCTCCCTGCTCAGCGGGGAGTCTGCTTCTCCCTATGCCCCTCACCCCTCTCATGCTCTCTCTCTCTCTCATCCTCTCTCTCTCTCAATTAAATAAATAAAATGTTAAAAAAAGAAAAGAAGTAAGCAATGAGTTTAGATCCTGACTTAAGAAGCTGGAAAAGGAATAGCAGAATAAATGCAAAAATGTAGTAGCGAGGGAGGTTCAAAATAAGAAGGAAGAATTAATTAAATAGGAAACAAACATAAAATATGAAGGTTCAAGAAAGCTAAACGTGGGCGCCTGAGTGGCTCAGTTGGTTAAGCGACTGTCTTCGGCTCAGGTCATGATCCTGGAGTCCCGGGATCGAGTCCCGCATCGGACTCCCTGCTCAGCAGGGAGTCTGCTTCTCCCTCGGACCTTCCCCCCTCTCATGCTCTCTATCTCATTCTCTCTCTCAAATAAATAAATAAAATCTTTAAAAAAATTAAAAAAAAAAAGAAAGCTAAACGCCGGTCCTTTGGAAAGACTAAAAATGTGGTAAACCTCTGACAAGTCTGGCAATGAAAAAAGAAAAAATTAAGTATGAAAAATGAAGCACGTAACTACAGATGCACCACAAAATAAAGTTAAAAAAGAAAACATTTCGAGTAGCTTTATGTCAATCAATTTCAAAATTTAGCAAAATATATAAACTTATAGAAATATATATAAATTACCAAAACTAACTCAAGGAGAAATCAAATACCTCAATAGTCCTATAGTCATTAAAAGAAACTGAATCATGAGCTTAAAATTCTCCCACAGAGAAATACCATGCTCCTTCTACAAACAAGCTTAGTTGTACAATTAAATACTTAAGATGGTAAAAATGAATGAACCCTGATGTAATGTATGGTGATTAACATAACGATAAAACAATTAAAAAAATGAATGAACCCTAGAGTTCCTTGTATTAACATGGAGGTTATACTGTTGTATAAACACAGAATGATCATACAAAGTTTTAAAACAAGTAAAACAAAGTAATAAGTTGTTTAAGGATAAATACACATATAGTAAATATGATTATCACAAACTTCAGAATAATCGGTTCCTGAGGGGAGACAAGAGAATGAGATCAGGAAGAGCCACAGGGTTGAGGGGGGAAAGACTTCAAAGATACTTAATATTCTACCATATTTCATCAATGTTGACAAGCCCATTCCTTTCACGTTTCTGAAATGAGGATGTGCCTTACGAGCTAGAACACCTTATAATTAATTATTCTTGGCATCCTTTTTTCTTTCTCGGTGATACATAAATAAGAATGTAACTTACAAACAGTGGATTCCATGAAAATATGGCTAGTTCTTAAACTAAATGGTGGAAATGGGCAGACAGTTTACTTTTAATTACCTAGCTCATATATTATAAATATTTTTATATATTCAGTGTATAATAAAATCAGGTTAAAATAGATTATGTTATGGGTCAGGTTAATATAGCAGGAAGATGGGGCGCCTGGGTGGCTCAGTTGGTTGGGCGACTGCCTGCGGCTCAGGTCATGATCATCCTGGAGTCCCGGGATCGGGTCCCGCATCGGGCTCCCTGCTCGGCGGGGAGTCTGCTTCTCCCTCTGACCCTCTTCCCTCTTGTGCTCTCTCTCTCTCATTCTCTCTCTCTCAAATAAATAAATAAAATCTTTTAAAAAATATATAGCAGGAAGATTAGGAAAAAGGACAGAATTAGAGAGTATTGAGGGCTTAGATGGTGATGGTATATAAAGATAAGACAGTAAGGTGAAGGTGAGGTGAATAAGATCATAGATTCCAAGAGAGAGAGATAGGCACCGAAACCTGTAGGAGTCAGGACAGAATAAGATAGAATATGAAACCTGGAGGTTGGTTCTAAAGTCAAGGGGGACAAGGATGAGAGATAGGGCTGAGCTCTAGAGCAGTGCTGTTCAGTAGAGCTTTCTGCAATGACGGGAATTTCTATATCGGCACCACTAAATATGGCAGCTACCAGATACATCATAATGTTACCAAACACCTGAAATGTGGCTAGCATGGCTGAAGAACTGAATTTCTATTTACTTCACTTTAATTAATTAAATAGCCACAAGTAGCTAGTGACTACAGTTTTGGACAGCACCACTCTAGAGCGTCCATGGCTCTTGAATCCAGACAGAGGACAGGGAGAAGGGCACCAGCCCCAGGACACTCACCAGCCACTATGAACAGAACGATGGCAAAGCCAAGGACGTAGTAAGGCCACTGCACGGAGATCTGGGGGGGGGTGGGCTTCATCCTCAGATTCTGGATCTCCAGGGCATGCAGCAACAAGGCCAGGAAGGCACAGACCCCTGCAGGGTCACAGGGAGGCACTCTTGCTCTCTTCCCATGGTTCCCACCTTTGCCCTTAATCAGACAGAGTCACGTGGCCCACAACCAGTGTGGCTCCTGTGTGGAGGCTCTTTTCCCCAGCCCACATCTGTGCCCTCTCAGAGCCCGTAACCTCTACCCCACATGCCTGTCTTTCCCTCCATCCCAGCTCATTTCAAAGCCCATGTGCCTCACCTCCCAGGGGCCCCAAAACCAGAAATCCCTTTCCCGGGTCCCCTCTGTGCCCATGCCATTGGCTGACTCCAGATGGGGCCCCCTGGGTGTGATGCTTTGGGTACAACTCAACCTGATCTTCCCACTGTGAGCGTTCCACCTCCTTCATGTGATGGGAGCCTCCCAGGGTAGGGCCATGGCCAGCCTTTTAAAGTCAAAAGGTTCCAAAGGGCAGAGATGGAGTCTTCCAACCATTTGTCCAAGAAACACTTATATTCCACTTATATTATATATTTCACTTCCGTATTATCACTGTGTGCCAGATTCTATGACAGTTGCTGGGATAGAGGTTATGGTAAAATGACCCCCAGACAAATGGCCCCAAGCCAACACAGTGAGTGCTGTGCTAGTTGGAAGTGCAGGGTGTCAAGCGACCCCCGGGAAGAGCGACTGTCATCCTGGAGGGCAGGCTGCCTCAGAGAAGGCAGCAGGAGAGAGGGGCCCTAAAAATTCCCGCTCTCCTGACATCACAGAAACCAACCATCTCCCTGCCTTTGGGTGCCCCTCTCAAACCCTCCCCAAAGCTGAGGCTTGCCTGAGGACAAGGCTTGCCTGCCTGTTCCACACCTGTGAGGAAGCTGATGAAGGCTGACACCAAATTGCGCTTCCGGGTCCTCGGAAAGAGCTGAGATGCAAAGGACACCAGGATGAAGGTGGTGAGGAAAGACAGGATGACTGCAGACAGCAGGAAAACGCGGCCGAGAATGATGTGCACTGTGGGGGAGGGAGGCTGGGCTGCAGCTGGGCACCCTGACCCGTGACAGGGGACAGAGCCCCGCAGAGCCTGCACAGAGAAGGCCCCCGGAGCTCGGCACCCTCAGTCCCACAGTGCGGCCTGGGACCATGGCTCCAACCCCACCACTTTGCCTCCAAGAGTGCTCTGGTCCCAACATTTTGTTCCCTGTGACATGGAAGGGTATGGGGGAAAAAAATTAGATGGGCAAACGGTCATTTTAATAAACAATAAAAATTATAAAATTTGCATGTGAAAACGTGAAGAATTGCATCAGTACTCGTCACACTGAAAAAAGCCGCAGGTGGAAAATCAGAACTTGTGAGGTTAAGATGTTCTGAACTCTGGGGGGAATGCTTGTTTAATTATCCTGGTTCACAGAAGTAATGAAACACACCCAAAATAGCAGAGCCAGGGTCTTGATGATCCCCTACTATTGGCGTGACTCAGACCCATGTTAAAACAAGTTTGTATACCCTCCTAAGCATGCAGAGATGGACAGCTGGTCGTAGGACAAAAAGACAAAGGTGTTGCTAAAGACCCAAATGTTCTAGATTCTACTCTTGGGTTAAACCAATGGTTCTCAATCGGGGGCAGTTTTACACCCCCACCAGGGATATTTGGCAGTGCTAAGAGGTAATTCTGGTTGTCGCAACTGAGGGCATCAATCGGGTAATAGAGGGTAAGGGTGCTGTTAACTGTCCTGCAAGGAACTGGAAAACCCCCACAAGAAAGATTACCCAGCCAAAGTGTCAGTAGCACCAAGGCTGAGGAACTCCAGATCAAAGAGCGCACACAGTGTGGCCCATCTTCCCCAAAGAGGTTTCTCCTCTTCTATTACCAGGAGAGAGCCCCTAAAGGCTCTTCCCCAAAGAGGCTCACCTCTTTTCCAAGACAGACATCCTGCTGACCCTCCCAAGTCCCTTGTAAAACACGGCCTCGGGTGCGTCCACAGTCCATTGAGCTCATATTCATGTGCATTCCCTTGAAAACGCGGTACTCGGGCCTAAGCACCTTATCTGCAGAGCTGCCACCCAGAGTTGGACAGGTGTTTGGCAGAGGGGACAAGTGGGGGCTGAAATCCAGCCTGCGCTCTACTAACAAGGTTGTTCCCCAGCTGGGAGCTGTGCCCACACAAAAAGGTCCCATGTCGGGGAGCTAACTGCAGCCCTGAGAGGTGATGGGGCCTCACACAGTAGGGCAGGACCCCCACCCCTCCATCCTAGGTGGAGCCACTCCTACCCCAGAAATAAACTTTGTTGCTGACACATTTGCTGCTGACCCTGGTGGTCAACTTGATACTATTAACCTTTTGCTAGCCACATATTTTCCTCTAACCTCCAGAGCAGAGACTCAGAAAATGCCCTTATGGGCTTATTAAATTCTGTCCTCTCTGACTCCATCCAGTCCTCTGTCACCCAAGTCCCTACGCTGGCCCCATCTACCCCTGTCCTGTGCCTACCTCCATCCCTCCTTACCTGATAAGGGTCGAGGCTTCCAGCATTTGATATGGAAGCAGTTCTCAAACAGGCCACTGAAAAACACCTCGTGGGACTCCTCGTTTACAAGCCGCACCCAGAAGGGAAAGATGGAGACCAGCAGTATGAGCAGGTAGCCCAAGGAGGTCAAGGCGGGGGCTACGGCCCACGTGAATCCCTTTACGTCTTTGTCCTCTAAAGTCAGCATCACCTGTTCAAGGGAAAAGGGAGGGGCGAGGAGATGACGCCTGCAGAAATGTTAGCACATACACGAGCCTCAGGAAATGTTGATTTCTCTGCGTGGATAAACTTTACAACCTTACAGACCTCTTCAGCAGACCTAAAAAAATGCATAAGACATTTTCTGCTGCTAAGTCACCGGGGGATCTTGGGCAAGTAGGGTCCCTTCTCTGAGCCCCAATTTCAGCCTCAATAAAATGAGGTTTAGGTTGGACTAGGCCATCCCCAAACCTCCGCCAACTCTAAAGTTCTCGCCACTGGATTCTGTTAACAATCACCCCACCTACAAAGACCCTCCACACTGTGCTCCACAGGCAGCTAACAGCCAATAGCCCTGGGGTTTCAGGATGACCACAGGGGTGGTAATTAGGCCAGGGTCTGAAGTGTAGAAGACAAGGCCCTCAGAGTGAGTCGGCTGCTCTCTCTGGTCCACACCCTGTGCAAACATCTGTGCTCATGCCCAGGCACTGTGGCCTCTCTCGGTCCTGAGGCAGACCCCCTCACTGCAGCCGGGGCAGGGAGTGTCTCTGAGGTTGTGGGACTTGCAGAGGGCAGAGTGTGGGTGCACTCTTGCAACCCCCCTCCCAAATCCGCTGTTTATAAACACGTGAACAGCTATTCCTCTCTGAGTGCCGTCAGACTGGTTTGCAAACATCCTCATGGGCTCTCACCTCCTTCCTGTCACTAGCCTCTCTTCTTCCCACCTGAATAATCCTTCCCTCCGTCCAAAGCTCCCCTTAGATCTTCCCTCCACCCTCCAGGCCACACTGATGAGTCACCTCAACTGCCAGGTCTGTTTCCTTTGCTCTAAAATGATGGAGTCGGTCAGCCCCGAGAGCAGTCCTAGCTCTAAAACTCTCTGGTAGGAGAGTTCATGGCTCCATCCTGACTCCCATGCTCCAGATGGGACGAAGTTCGCTAGACACTGTCAGCAGATGGTCTGTGCCCCTGTCTGTCCTCCCACAACCTCAACTTGTCTAAAACTGGCCTTCGTGTCTTCCCCCATTTCGGCCATGATCCGTCACCATACACCGGCCTGGAGCTCACGCTGGCCCCTCTCTCCCTCCCCACCCCTCCATCTCATCGGCCTTCCTCCCAGGAAGCCCCCAAGCCCCCACCCTCCCTGCCTGACGCCCACAGGTCTCCTTTCCAAGCACCTCCAGCCTCCACACGGGCCTTCCTTCCCTGGGGGTGCCCTCTCTGCCTTCCCTGTAAAGCTCAGCTTGGCCCCGTAAACCACATGCAGCCCTCCCAGCCACTAGCCACTGTCCGTCATTCCCTCCACACTTACTGGACGCCCCATGCCCAGCTCAGGCCAGCGGCAGCGATTCAGGGATGAAAAAAGACAGGAACTCGCAGGCTCTTGGTAACTATGGGGGAGAAAGACACACAAACAGGTCACTGGGTACAATGCCTTCCTCCCCCCTGCCTGGGTGACTTCAGGGCCAGGTGCACCCAGCACACCACATCCTGTCTGTCATTGTCTCCCTCCTCCACCCCCCTACCACCCCGCGGCTCTCCAGCGAGGAAGACCTTGCCAGCCTTTTGGAACAGCCCTTAACACAGGGATTGGATGACTGTGCCCCATGGATATACAACTTGGGGGATGCACTGATCCAGGCCAGACTCAAAGGACCCTAGCCATATTAATACAGCAGGGAAACGGGAGGCTGGGTGGCTCAGTTGGTTAAGCGACTGCCTTCGGCTCAGGTCATGATCCTGGAGTCCTGGGATCGAGTCCCGCATCGGGCTCCCTGCTCAGCGGGGAGTCTGCTTTTCCCTCTGACCCTCCCTCCTCTCATGTGCTCTCTCTCTCTCTCATTCTCTCTCTCAAATAAATAAATAAAATCTTAAAAAAAAAATACAACAGGGAATCGGCAGATCCCTTTGTACTGCTGAAATGGAGAACAGGAGAGAAAGACCCACCACTGGTCCAGGATCTGATAGTCAGTCCGCGCTGGGGCAAGGACCAGAATCCCACATGGTTGCCCTCCCTCTCACTTCAGGCCTCAGGCCAGGAGTTCAGATTGGTGACTCTCAAATCAGGAATTTAGTGGAACCTGTGAATTCTTCCTACTAGATATGCTCATTTGCATGTGTGAGAGAGGGAGAGTGAATTGGGGGGGGAGGGATAGAATTGCCAAAACTTTTTATTTTGCCAAAAGCATTCAAAACAGGGACGCCTGGGTGCTCAGTCGGTTAATCCTCTGATCCTGGGGTCCTGGGATCGAGTCCTGCATGGGGCCCTCTGCTTAGCAGGGAGTCTGCTTCTCCCTCAGCCTGCCGCTCCCCCTGCTTGTGCTCGCTCGTTCTCTGACAAATAAATAAAATCTTAACAAAAAAAAAAAAAGCATTCAAAACAAAACAAAAACAACTGTCAGCAACTATCACACTGTCTTAATTATTATTTAAAAAGACCCAGGAAAGTAAAAGAGTTGCTCCCTCCTGGAGCCTGGACGCCCCGGAGCCACCATGGGCCTGGGGGAGCTTCCTCAATCCCGGTTCCCTCTGGAAGAGGCCCTGAGCCACCCTGCAGCAGCCTGAATGCAGCCCTGTCCCCTCCCAAGGCCCTGCGCAGCCCCCGGGTCAGCAGGGAACTGTACTGGGGGTTGAAAGAGGTGGGCAACAGAAAGTATATCTGGGTCGGAATGGTGGGGGTACCTGTCAGGGCCTCAGGGAGGCTCATTTCCTTTCCCACCAGTGATTCGGGGCAACTTGGGCAGCAAACTGACCCCAATTTGGTCAGAGGATCCTTCCTGCTGACAAGCCTCCTCGGCCCTTCTCTGGCCCCAAAACCACGGGGACATTTTCCAGACCCCAAAATGGACCCAGATCTGACGATCCGCCCCCACCCCGCAGTGAGTCCCAACAGCCCCCTAGGGTTCTGTGTGGCCTGGAGGTGGGGGGTTGGGGGCCCTCTCTACGCCCCCCTCTCCGTGGAGCCACGCCACCCCTCCCTCCCCTCCCTCCTTGGGCACCGTTGGGGTCTCCTGGGCAGGACTTCCCTTCAGGAGGGCCCCCATGCGGCGGGGCGACCCCTCGCCCGCCCCTTGGACCCATGGCCCTGAGCTTCTGTTGGCCCTGGAGGCCCGCAGCGAGAGGATGCGCCGTCCGCCCATGGAGTCAGCGGGGCCCTGCGGAAGCGGGCAGGGACTCACCCAACCTGTGGCCGCGCCCTCCGCTCACCTGGCCCTTGGCCCAGAGGCACCTGGCCTCGGGGGCTGTTCGCGGGGCGGGCCTTGCTCAACGGTGCGCTGAAGGGGGTGGGGGTGGAAGCGATCGGGAGCCGGGCGGAACTGAATTCGAATTCCAGCTCTGCCATTACCAGCAGGGTGATCTTGGGTAAGTTACTTCTCCTTCCTGGGTGTCAGTTTTCTCATCTGTGAAACGGGAATAATAATAGTAACCCCTCCGGTCGGATGGCTGAAAGGGTCTAATGATAAGCGCCTGGAAGAAGCGCCCTGACTTCTCAGGAGCCTGCCAAGTCACTCCCCTTCTCCAACACCCTCACAGCGCCCCCTCCCGGCCCCACCCCTGCGGCCTCCTGAGCCCCTGTCCTGCGCATGGCCCGATCACCCTCAGGCCTCCCTCATCCTCTGTCCCTCTCCCCTTCTCTGCGCTCCCCTAAGAAGGCTGGCGGCACCTCTGACCACGCGGGCTGGGATTAAACTGCGGGAAGAATCTTCAAAGAGAGGGCACTGGGTGGAGGTAGGGCTGGTCTCCAGCTTTGGGAGACTGGTAGGGGCCGGAGTGGCCACACTTGGAACTGGATAAGCCACCAGTCCCCACCTAACCCTAACCCTAACCCCACACACACACCCCACCCTGCTTTGAGTCTGCCCTCATCAAGGAAATGCATTTGTAACTCCAAGATTTTAAAAAGCCAGTACCATCTCTGGCACTTCCTCCCACCTTTCCACTAGCCCTGGACATAGTCAAAAACAACAGGAAGGCATGAGGTGGGAGGGACCACTGATTTACCCAATCACCTGGGAGAGGCATGTGACAGGCCCCTGTACTGTCCAAGATTCTATTTGTCATCAGGTTCAGGACCCAATTTGTAGAAGCTCACCAGGGAGGGCCTCTACTGGCTGAGGCGGCAGGACCAGAGCTAGGCCAGGAAGACGCCCCTGGAACACTTTCTGCCTTGATCTCTGGCAGATAACTTTAATCTCCTCCACCCGGTTGGATTTCATTCTCCAGGTGATGGGGGAAACAGTCCGCTTCCAGACTCACATCCCTATATTTAGCCGCCTTGGAGAAAAAGAATGTTTTCCTCACCCTATTCTCACTCCTGCTTGGTCCACGATTTCCCAGGGAAGCATTCTAATAAGCTCAGCTCGGGTCACATGCTCATTCCACTCTGGTCAGAAAAGGTTAAGTCAGCTGTGGGTTAGGGTTTAGGGTTAGGTTTAGGGGTTAGGATTAGGTCATTGAGAAGCCAGCAATTTGGATCACCTATCTGGAGCAACATAAGAACTTTCTTAAAGGAAGAAGGATGGTGTTCTCAGAAGAAGGGAAAATTACAGCAGACCCTGACAGTGTTTTCATATGCACTGTTATCTAATACTTTAGATATCATTACACAGTAAATCCAAATGACAGGCATTATCATCCTCATATTGCAGATGAAGAAACTGAGTCTCAGGTTAAGAACTTGCCCAAAAGATCATGGATGGTTGCTAAAAACATTAGCCTGTAGAAGAAAAGATTTGCATGGTGCTAGAATTTATCATCCCTAAAAATTACTAATTCACTAATTACAAAGGGAAAACACCTTTACATAGGAGTGATCTGGCAGTCGCTACCTTTAACAGGTGAACAAACAGCACTACTTAGGGTAGAATAATTTGACGTCAGTTGCCTACTGAGATGATACAGTATGGAGACATGACATGTGAGGTATTCTTGCTAAAAATGCTTAATCAAGCCACTAAACCTTGTTCCAATTTAGAGGAAATGCAGGGGGTTGGGAAGAAAGTTAAATACCACCACAAGAGGGACGCCTGGGTGGCTCAGTCGGTTAAGCATCTGCCTTCGGCTCAGGTCATGATCCCAGGGTCCTGGGATCAAGTCCCACATCGGGCTCCTTGCTGAGCGGGGAGCCTGCTTCTCCCTCTGCCTGCCTCTATCTCTCTCTCTTTGATAAATAAATAAAATCTAGGGGAAAAAAATACCACCACAGGAAAACAGACAAATCAGTTTTGTGGAAAATTCTAAAGGATAACTGTTCTTGACTCCTCCAAAGTCAAGGTCATTAAAAAAAAAAAAAAGGTAGAGGAACTACTCTAGATTAAAAGAAACTAAAGGGACCAAAAAAAAAAAAAAAGAAAGAAACTAAAGGGACATAAAGCCAAATGTAATGTGACCCTTGATTTTTCCCCCCCAATTCAAAATAAAATAGCTATAAAACACATTCTTGGGGCAACTGGGGAAAGTCTGAATATGGACTGCATTTTAGACGGTATTAGGGAATTAAATTCTTTTTCTTAGGTATGTTAATAGTGTTGCAATTATATAGGAAAACAACCTTACTCTTAGAGAAGCTCACTTTCAAATAATTCAGAAAACAAGTATACGGATAGAACGCAGATATGGGAAAACAATAATAATTATTGATCTGAGTAGGGGATATGTAGGGTGTTCATTTATACTATTTTTCAACTTTTTGGTATATTGAAATCTCTCAGATAAAATTATTGTTGAAGAACATATAGGGGCACCTGGGTGGCTCAGATGGTTAAGCATCTGCCTTTGGCTCAGGTCATGATCTCAGGGTCCTGGGATCAAGCCCCACATCGGCCTCCCTGCTCAGCCGGGAGTCTGCTTCTCTCTCCCCACTCCTGTTCTCTCACTTTCACTCTCTCCTCAAATAAATAAGTAAACTCTTGAAAAAAAAATATATATATATACACACACACACATACAGCTGGACCCTAAACTCAGGTGTATCATTCAGCTACACAGTATCTGAGTGCTTTCTCAAATGTCGGATACGGTGTTTGCTGCATACAGTCCTTGCCCTCATGGAGCTTGCAATCTAGCACAGAGACAGGTAACTGAATAAATCTTTTTTTTTTAAGATGATCAATGCACAAAAGCAGCATAGCATGCTACAAGGATTGCAGAGGACAATTCAGTTCAAAGGAAGACCTGCAAGGAGGCAGGATTTAGACGGAATCTTATCCCCGAAAGGGGGACTGCATTGTGCAAAGGTTTTTACTCGCTCTACAGCAAGCACTACTATACATGACACACACGTGTGCACATGCACACGGAAAAGTCTCACTTACCTTTGCTATGTGCAATGCACATAAATAATTTCTATCCCACTCTGGTCCTGCCTACTTTTTTCTTTTACCCTCAGTGCTGGTTCCAACTCACTCAAAAAGATAAATTAATCTTTATTTTTTTTCAAAGATTTTATTTATTTAACACAGAGAGATAGCCAGAGCAGGAACACAAGCAGGCGGAGGAGGAGAAGGAGAAGCAGGCTTCCCGCCGAGCAGGGCGCCCGATATGGGGCTCGATCCCAGGACCCCGGGATCATGACCTGAGCCGAAGGCAGACGCTTAACGACTGAGCCACCCAGGTGCCTCTATGATAAATTAATCTCATGACCCACTAGCTGCTTTGACCTACATTTGAAAAATACTTTGTTCAAGGACACAATGAATTTTAAAATGACTGGAAGGAGTAGCCCCAAGAGGACGGAAGAAATCAATGGGCAGAGCTGGGACGTGAAGGGTCTTGTAATTTCATCCTATGAGAGGTGAGATTAAAGCAGTCACGTTTGGGTCCCAAGGCCCAAACTTCTCTTCCTCCTCCTATCTTCCCTTTGCACAAGACTCCTACCTCTTTAAGCAGAGCACAGGAAATGCCTCTCACTCAGGGGTCCCAAGGCTGTGTACACAGCATGGCCAGGGACTACCAGGCCCGCCCCCACTAGGACTGCAAATTTTAGAATGTGTGCACAGGTTTAGGTTATAGCCTCCTCTGGAAGCATTTTCATATTTTCCCAGGTCCAGGGTAGAGTTCAGGCAAGGGAAGAGTAACTGCCTGCTGGAAAATGGGGTGGAGTCCCCATGAGCTGGGGCTCTGACTTCCCCTACGCTCTGTGCTTCCTTGGGCCAGAGCTTCAAAGGGAAAATCCAAATCGCCCAAACTGCAGTTTTACCAGGTAACGAACTGGGAAGTGAGCAGGTGCCTGCCCACCCCCCCCCACCCCCAGACCGAGCTTACTGCCCGCAGGGAATCCAATAGCTGGCCCCCTCCCACAGCTCCTTCCACCTGGGACACCCTCTCTCCACTTTCACATAGGAGCACTCCATACTCCCAGCGCCTTCCCCTTGCTAGCCCTTAGTGACTATGCCACAGATCCTATGCGGTCTTTTTGTGTCTTTTTCTCAGCACCTGTATATTGTATAGGTTCTCAACCTTGGGTGCACATTAGAATTACCTGGGAACTTGCAAAATCCCAATATCCAGGCCAGACTCCACACCATAAAATCTGTGAGATTGGAACGGAGGCATCAGTACTTTGAAAGTTCCCCAGGTGATTCCAGTATGCAACCTAAGTTACGAATTCCTGCACTACTGGGTCCTGTTGCAGCTAGGAGCCATGAGGGGGCAGGGAGGTGGGGTTACTATGGGGTCAGGTGACCAGCGATCCTGGTTTACACAGGACTGAGTATTTCCTGACATGGGACTTTCAGTACTAAGACTGAGAAAGTCCTGGCCAACAGCTGGGCTGAGTGGTTGCCCTTGTGTTTACCTGAGGTCTAAGGGCTTGGTCAATTGGCCACTTGTAATACTTGCGCCCAAAGAACCAGAACCCCACTTTAGTGGGTTGTTTTTTTTTTTTTAAACATTTTATTTCTTTACTTAATCTCTATACCCAACACGGGGCTTGAACTTACAACCCCGAGATCAAGAGTCACATGCTCTACTGACTGAGCCAGCCAGGCATCTCCCCAACTCCCACACACACCAACTTTGGTGCCTTTGATGCTGCTAGACAAACTCTTTTCTCCCCTTTCCTGGTCTCCACAGACACCTCTGCCTTTGGAGCCCGGCACGTGACCCCTGCTATTCTCTGCCAGTCAGAATCCCGCCTAGCCTTCAACCCCAACTCATCAAGCCTGCCTCATCCCTGAAGCCTCTCAAGACTCCACAGAAGGAAAGGGCCCTTTCTGTGGTGAAGGGAGTGGGGAAGGACTCAAGGAGGGTTGTGTGTCGAGTGGAGTAAGCAGGCACACTGGCTCAGAGCTCAGACCTGACCTCACATAGTGCGAGTCCATACTCGGGACATCCAGAAGGCAAGGCGGTCCTTAGAGCAAGGTGACCCTCAGTGCTGATAATCACCTATCGATTACAGAGG